TGCTTGGCAGGCCTTTGCACCTCAATTTTGTCTAGAAAGAGGGTTACATGTTTTCCCATCTTCAGCCAAAATGACAAATGTTATGTTCAGCTGTTTGCAGTGTATATAAGAGAGAAAGTGAGGTGGAGAGGGAATAAGTTTCAAATAATCCTTAGATTTTTATACTATTTTAGAGACACAGACTAGACATAAATTCCTTTCTCTTCTGATAGTCTAATTCTGAAGAACTTCTCAAGCAATGACCCACTTAAAATTGCACATTTGCCTCTAAGTAGATAAAAGAAAATGTGTGGCAACTGGTAGTTTGTGTGGCAGAGCTAGTTGTCATTGTTTGTTGATTACCTGTATTGCTTATTTGTTACTTTGTAATGACTTACCCCCAAGTTTAGCAGATTAAAACAACACTGTCAGGAATCTGAGAGGAGCGTAGCTGGGTGCCTCTACCTCTGAGTCTCCCATGAAGTTACAGTCAGGCTGTTAACTGAGACGGCTGTCTCATCTGAAGGCTTCACTGGGGAAAGATGAACTTCTAACTCCCTCACATGATGTTAACAGAATTCAGTTCTTGCCCACATGGGCCTCTCCATGGTAGCTGACAACCTGGAGCCATTATGTTCTGTAATCCTTGTATAATCAAGCAATCCCCCAATCTTTGCAAGCATTGGAGTCATTTTCTTTGTTCCCACTATACTGCAGTATCACAATGATGTGCATTGGTATGGGTGAGGATTGAGTGAATGTGAAAGGTCAGGGTAGGATGGTTAGAGACACACTGCTCTTAGAGGGCGTGCATGGAGGATGGTGAGCTGGAGAGGAGCTGAGAATAGAGGAGAATGTTACATTAAACTCTGGAAGCCGGAAAATCAGGGACATCACGGGCAGCAATCCTGTCTTACTCAGTGTCTTCCCCACGTTGGAAGGCATTCCTCAAATGCCTTACCAATGAGTCTCTAGTCTCCAGCAAAGTCTCCCATTTTCACCTCCTTCTAAAGTCCAGGGACACATTAAGCACTGTCACCCAGTAAACCCATAATCCAGTGTTCTTGAACTAACCCAGCAACTTCAATTGCTTTACCATGAATCTGGTACCTTCTTTGTTCCTCCTATAGCTCTTTGTTCCTCCTATATCAATGTCTGGATGGGTTTTTTAAGTGAGGCAGGACAGTCCTAGCCAGTTTTGCTCAATGGTTAGAGTGTCGGCCTGCAGACTAAAGGGTCCCAGGTTGGATTCCAGTCAAGTGCACATGCTCAGGTTGTGGGCTCCCTCCACAGTGGGGGACATGCAGGAGGCAGCCAATTCTCTCACATCATTGATGCATTTCTCTCTCCCTCTCCCCTCCTCTCTGAAGTCAATAAAAATATATTTTTAAAAAATGAAGTGAGGCAGAACAGTTCTGAGGCAGTCAGCCGATAGATGTGAAAGTACTTGATAAATTGCTAAACACTATACAAATTAAATTATTGGGTTGCTGCTATTTTAGAGAAACCAAACTTTCCAATTGTGTGGAAAACACAAGTAGAATGATATAAAGTACACATCGACACTGTGTAGCCAACTATAAGAAAACCACTTTCCTAGTATCAGCAGCCCCATATCTCAATGTTCTCGACTTTGCTGAAGTGTGTTAATTTTGGGAACGTCTCCATGTGAGATTATGGTCATTTTCCTCTCCATTTCTTATGAACGAGTGCATCCTGCAATTTGCTCTCTGTGATTCCTCCTTGTTCTTGAATTAGAAGGGTTATTCTTTCTCCCTCTGCCTTCCCTTTTTCCTGATGGTTGTGTAAACGCAGGATTTATTTTTTGGGCAAAGGCAGATGTTTTAGAAAACTAAGCTCTGAGTTTCTATGAGTGACTTCCCCATTGATAAGGATAAATCATTGTGCTGGCTGTAAACAACTGCCAGTGAGTCTTTGGAACAATGCAACCTGCTACCCAGCAAGGATCGGGACCTTTAAGAGTCGCTGTGTTGAGGAATAACCCACTGATACAGAGCAGACTTGCTCCTATCATTGTTATGCTGCAAGTGGAAGTGGTAAAAATAAGGAACTGGTTTTCTCTTGTCTGTAGCCTTAGGGAGGGAATTATTATGGAGCTGGATTTGGAATATAAAAGCAATCTATGTACTGTAGAAACATTGGAAATACTCCAAAAGACAGTAGGGCATTATTAACATAGAAATGAGAAAAAGCAAATAAGGGTGTTATTATATACTGTTGTTATTTTCTTTAGTCTCTACGTAAAATATGTAAAGCTGATAATTCCTTACTAGGTGCCTGTTTATACCAACAGTGAAGTAAATGGGTTCTGTCTTAAATGGAATACTTTAAAAAAAAAAAAAAAACTTTTTAATTGAATTCAGAGAGGAAGGGAGAGGGAGAGAAAGATAGAAATATCAGTGATGAGAGAAAATCATTGATCTGTTGCCTCCTGCACGCCTCTTACTGGGGACTGATCGTGCAACCGAGCATGTGCCCTGACCGGGACTCGAACTGTGACCTTGTGGTTCATTGGTCAATGCTAAACCTCTGAGCCATGCTGCTGGGCATAAATGAAATGTTATGTTAAAATAACATAATAACAAAATAAATAGTTGTTTTACTGCCTATTCTTTATTCTTCACAGTTCTACCTAATGTTTATAACCGGTTAGAAAATTGCAAATATTTTAAAGGGTAGTAAGCAATAATTTTTTAGTGTACTCAGAAGAAGCAAAGAAAAACTTTTTCATGAATGTTGCTAAGATGGGAATGAATTAGGAAATAATTTGTTAAAGATGCCCCAAGGGGGATAGGGTGTGGATGGTATTTAAATAGAAAGGGAAAGTTGCCCAAGTAATGATTCACCAGTATTTATGGAGTTCTTAATATTCAGATGAGTTACAAAACATACAAATGTCCAAAAAGCTATAGACAAATAATAAAAGTTATTCAAAAGATAAGGAAAAGACATATACCCTGATAGAAAAATGGGCTAAATACTTAGTTAGAAAAATTATAAAACAAAAAATATAAAGGGCCAGTAAGTATATCTCAAAATATTCAGCCTTTCGTTAAAAATAAATTTAAATGTAAGTAATAAATTGAGATTGGTGATAGTTTAAAAAAAATAATACTCCTGAATGCAGAGGTGCAGGCACTTATCTACTACCAATGGGAATTTAAATTCTTATGACCAGGTAGCAATAAATCAAGAGCCTTAAGAAAAGAAATGTCTGGGGAGGGAGGGTATGAATGGGAGGGGGGAATGGTAAGATATACACAGATAATAATTTAATAAAAAAAAGAAAGAAAGAAAGAAAAGAAACGAAATTTCTAATATAGCAGTTCTATTCCTAGGAGCTATCCTAAGGAAATCATTTTTTTAAATAAGCACAAGAAGTTCATCAAACTTTTATAATACAGCCAAAACCGGTTTGGCTCAGTGGTAGTGCGTCGGTCTGCAGACTGAAAGGTCCCAGGTTCGATTCCGGTCAAGGGCATGTATTATACATTGGTTGCGGGCAGGGGGTGTGCAAGAGGCAGCTGGTCGATGTTTCTCTCTCATCGACGTTTCTAGCTCTCTATCTCTCTCCCTTCCTCCTCTCTGTAAAATATCAATAAAATATATTTTAAAAAAAATTTTTTATAATACAAAAACATTAAAACACCCCAAAGACAATATGGCTGTGTTATCATAGGAATGAGAAAAAGCAAATGATGGTGCCTCATGCTGTTACCATAAGGTTGGATACTTGTGTGTGTCTGTGTGTCTGAATACACTCAGGTTAGGAAGGTTATATGCACCAAACAGTTAATCATTCTTTACTCTGGATGGTTGAACAACTGGTGACCTTAATTTTCTCTCTTTTGCTTATCAATACAGTAAACATGTATTATTTTTTGAATATGTCCTAAATAAAACCAATCTTGAGAATCAGAATAAGAGACCTTTGCTTACCATGTTCATTTAAGAACACATTTTCTTTACTTAGTTAAACTTTAAGGAAACCATGTGATTGTGATTAGGTTGTAGAACCTACAGAATTTGCCTTGAAAAGATTCATCCTCCCTCTCACTCGCTAGAAAGGCTTTATTATTTTTTTTTTTTATATAAGAGAACAAAACCATTTCATTTATTTATTTTTCAATAAGTTTAAATCCTTGATGGATACAGCATTACACATTACACAGACTCTATGTCCAGTGGCCTTAGCAAGAAGGTTGCTTGGAATTTAGCATGACCCGTGCCACTGTTTCCATGAGCACCAATTACCTTTCCCAGGATTACTCTGGTTTTACTCCATTTGCTACCAGGAGTCACTGTGGAAATCTTGCTTTTGTACACATAAGCACATCTCTTGTCTAGATAGAATTCAGTTTCATCTCAAGTATAAACACCTTCAATTTTTTTTTTTTTTAGATTTGTTTTTATTGTTGGTTTCAGAGAGAGAAAAGGAAAGGGAGAGAGAGATAGAAACATCAATGATGAGAGAGAATGATGTCTCCTGCATGCTCCCCCTCCCCCCCCCCCCCGTCCTCCCCCAAGGACCAAGCCTGCAACCCAGGCATGTACCCTGATTGGGAATCAAACAATGATCTCCTGGTTCATAGGTTGATACTCAACCACTGAGCCATACAGGCTCAGATTAAACACCTTCAATTTTAAGAAGAGCTGTGTGCTCCTTCTGGTTCTGTGAGACCCCACTTATAGTCAGAAAAAAATGGCCTTCCAGAGATATTTATTGTTGAAGTCCTGATCTCAGCAGCCTCCGCAGGCTCCCAGGTGGCAGAAAGAAGGCATATTTTTCTTAAAAAGAACTGTGCATCTGTATAATTGATAATTATAGGATATTATTAGTTTTGTAACAGATACAGATTAGCAGTTTATGTTCTTCTATAGTTAATAACTTGGACTTAGAACTTCAGAAGCTTCTGGGAGAATCTGGAAATTACAGGTTTTCATTTCCTGAATCTTGAACATTTTACCTTTTCTTTGGTTTCTGTTTAGGGTCTATCATAATGAATGGATCCAGTGTGGCAAACACATCCCCCAATGTAAACTCCACAGAGGACCAGGGGTTAAATGGGCATGATGAGAAGGAAAACCCATTTGCAGAGTACATGTGGATGGAGAATGAAGAGGATTTTAACAGACAGGTAAAGAAAGAAGAGGGAGGACAGTGATGCGTGTGACTGGCAGCTATAATACTTTGTCAGTCTGTTACAAAAGAAATGGGTTCCTCAGCTTTAGAATAACTTAAACTTACGTGGAAGCCTGGTCTGAGCTGACCAGGAAACAGCCTCAGCTGGTAAGAGATCAGGTAGAACTTTGGAGGAAGAGCATGACATTTTTTTGCCACAGTAATTAAAAGAGGATTTAATGCCATGGTGATCTGGTATAGACTTCTGAGAAACAGCAGATTTGTGCAGACAGGCCAGCCTGGCATGCCCCAGTCAAGAACCCAGGGATTGGCATGATGTGAGCCTGAGATAGATATGTGTGTAGTAGGGTAGGGGAAGGCTAGGCTGCTTCAACGAAGATTCAGCAGTGATTCATTGTCTTCTATCTCTTAACGTTACTAGCCCAAGGTAAGCCATTCCAGGTAGACAGGTGGGACCACATAGTTCCTTCCATGGTGTTGCTTTGCCACCTCCAGGGCACTTATCAGCTAAGTAACTGAAGGGAAACCGGAAGTCTAGCCACTGGGAAAGGAAGAGAGTCAAAGGCCAAGGCAGGGGATCTCCTTTTAACCAAGTGATGCAAAGTGCTCCCATACCTTCTGGGGACATCACTTGATGGTAACATGGTCGTATCCAGCATGGGAGATGAGAAATTCGGTTTTAACTGAATAGCCCGTTGCTGAGGGAAGAAGAAAACAAGCTTTGGGGGTGCTGTCAGCAGTTTCCACTCCAAGTGGCTCCCTGTGTCATGATTTGTGTGAATAGCACATGTACCATGCTTCGCTCACCCCTGTAACCATTCTGGGGGTTGTGCCTGTGAATAGGATACATGTAATAAGGGGGACACTTTTGGGGAGAGTCAGGGCAGATCTTGAGCAATTAGGCTAAATCTTGTGGCTTAGAAATATTTTGTAGTTACTGTTAAGTACTTTCTAATTTTCTTGAAATGTTTTTAAATGTTGCTAACTATAATGTTGCAATACAATTTTTGAGTCTTGCTATCAGTGACTTTTCCTTGGAATTCATGAGGTGTTCACTGTATTGGCTAGTTTGGGTGATTATCTTTGTTTGACTCCCCCTGGCAGTGGCATGAGTGAGCTGTGAATCTGTCACCAGGCCAGCTGCAGGAGAAGAGAAGGCCCATGAGAGGCAGGAGGCCTGTTAAAATCAAATGAATTCTTTCATAAGAGTTAATAGTCAATGACTGTAAACAGGTATAAACTATCTTAGATACACGTTGCTTTAATTTATGGCAATCTTTAAGAAATATGGACTTGTTTCAATATTCATAGAAATTTTTCTTTTTATCTTCATCTGAGGACATGCTTTCATTGATTTTAAGAGAGAGAGAGGAAGGGAGAGGGATAGAGAAACATCGATCAGCTGCCTCCTTCACGTACCCTGACCGGGAATCAAACCAACAACCTGGATATGTGCTTGGACCAGGAATTGAACCCGCAGCCTTTTGGTATATGGAATGATACTTCAGCCTATTGAGCCACACCAGCCAGGGCTTGTATTGTTTCTTGTTTTGAAAGAATCCTACATTGACGAAATCATTTTCTATTGGTATGTCAAAAAGTGTTCTTTATATTTTTCTAAGGTTCTGAAAGTATTTTTCACCCTTAAAGGCCTCATTACCAGAAAATTGGGGCAGAAGCTAAGAGTTGGTTTTTATTTAATGTCCACTGGCCAAGTAATGGTTTAGTTACATAGTTCCTATACCCTTTTCATAGTTGTCAAATGGGAAATTTAGAAAAAAATTGCTTCTTAACAAGATTGAGAAAAGAATTTTAAGCTTTAAAATTGATTTCGAGCCTTAGCTGATTTGCTCAGTGGATCGAGCATAGGCCTGCAGACTGAAGGATCCTGTGTTTGATTCTGGTCAAGTGCACATACCCGGGTTGGGGTTCGATCCCCAGTAGGGGGCATCCAGGAGGCAGACGATCAATGATTCTCTCTCATTATTCTTGTTTTTACCTCTTCCTTACCCTCCCTTCCTCTCTAAAATAATTTAAAAAAAATTTTTTTACAAAAAAAAAAAGATTTTTGGTACATGCCACATGAATGGAAAATATCTGTTTCACATATTAGAAGTCTTAGATGATTTGTGAAGAACTTCTGCTATTTTGAATAACTGTTTCCTTAGTTTTATTGTTAATGGAACTTAACAATTGAAAAAAGTATATTTTGTCCAGGCAGTCTTTAGAAGCATCTTAATTTTTAGTAGGACTCATGCAAGATCATTCTTTTTTTTTTTTTTTTTTTTTTTTTTTTTTTTTTTTTTTTTTTTTGGAACCAAGACATTCTTTATATATATATATATATATATATTTATTTTTTTTATTTTTTACAGAGAGGAAGAGAGAGGGATAGAGAGTTAAAAACATCGATGAGAGAGAATCATTGATCAGCTGCCTCTTGCACACCCCCTACTGGGGATATGTCCACAACTAAGGTACATGCCCTTGAACAGAATCGAACCTGGGACCCTTCAGTCCGCAGGCCGACGCTCTATCCCCTGAGCCAAACCAGTTTCGGCAAATCATTCTTAATTTTGGAGTAAAAACCTCTAACACAAAGAGGTGGATTAAACCTGGGAGGGCGAGTGCCTCTGGGAGGGTGAGTCTGAGCTTGCACCTTTGCCTGGCAGGTGGAGGAGGAGCTGCTGGAGCAGGACTTCTTGGACCGGTGCTTCCAGGAGATGCTGGACGAGGAAGACCAAGACTGGTTTATTCCATCGCGAGACCTGCCTCAGGCCATGGGACAGTTGCAACAACAGTTAAATGGACTATCTGTCAGCAACGGTCATGATTCTGAAGATATTTTGGTAAGAGCCATAAGTAGTTCCACATGTGACATAGTGAGAATATGGGATTTGTAGTCGCAGTCTTACTTTCTGGCACTACTACCTTGGGCAAATCCCTGGAGCCCTCTAAGCTGCTGTTCTTCACTTATCATGTGGGCATTAATAATTGGGTGCATTGAAGATGCATTCACCTAATAAAGCGTTGTGAAAACATCAATGTCACAGCATCACCAACTTTCATTTTTCTCAATGGGCTTTTAAAAGTAGAATTGGGATTAAGGATAAAAATTTGAACATAGAAAAGACTATATATATATATATATATATATATATATATATATATATATATATATATTGATTTCAGAGGGGAAGAGAGAGGGAGAGAGAGAAACATCAATGATGAGCGAGAATCATTAATCAGTTGCCTCCTGCACATCCCCAACTGGGAATCAAGCCCACAACACAGGCATGCACCCTTGACTGGAATTGAACCTGGGATCCTTCAGCCCATAGGCCGACACTCTATCCATTGAGCCAAACCAGCTAGGGCAAGATTTGGTTTTAAATTATCATTTGCTGCTGTCCTTTTCTTTTACTATCCCTCAAATCTGCATTTGTAATTTTGAATGATGCTATTATAAAAACTGTTCATTTTGGAAGGAACATATTCATTAGAGGCCATTACCCACTTAAAATTAAAAGACTGGATAAGTGAATTCCCTGCCTTCCATGTTTACCTATGGAATTCGGAGTGATTTAGTTTTCACACAACTCATGGTCTGAATGATTGTGCCCCAGAGTTTGCTAAGGTTTGGGTATTCACAGGAGAGCAGGGAACCAAAGAGAGTACAGCAGGATGAAGAATGATATATGTACATAGGGATTGTGGTAATCAAACTGGTTTGATGGAGTTCTTTGATGTTCATCAGATTAGGGTGTTCAATCAATTGAATTATTTTTGGAGTCACACTTATAAGTCCCTAATGAAAGCATCATAAAGGGAGCAGAAATCTGAAGTAGGAAGGAGACAGTAAGGTTGGATGGGGCTTAGAATGTCAGGGCCCATTGAGACCAGCCCAGCAGTAAAGGGCTGAGTTGTAGGAATTCTTTTTTTTCTCTCTTTTGAGGCTGAGGGGAAGGTACTGGTAATAATGGAAGCAGGGAGAAAACAAATTTTAAAGTACATTTTGCCGTGGGATTTATTATTCTTGGTTCTTATTTCAGAGCAAAAGTAACCTGAACCCGGATGCCAAGGAATTTATTCCAGGAGTGAAGTACTGAGCTGACAGAGAAACTCTGAGGAGGACTTGTATATCCCCACATCTGGGGACAGTGCTGCACAAAAAGGCAGAGCTGAAGGGGGTGGGTGGGCTAGGGGTGCACAGTGGGGGAGGGGAATAGTAGTTTAATTTAACACTGTGACTGGAGTAGCTAAACGTGCTCAGTCTTACTCTACAAGCCTTTGAGTATTTCTCTTTTGTTCTACTGGCTTTCATTTTGAGCAGTTTTTTATTATTATTATTATTATTATTATTATTATTATTATTATTTGCCTTTTTGAGTTAAGGAAATTATTGCAGTTTTTCTCACCTTCATCAGGAATGTACTGCTATGTGTATTTAAACAGAATAAGCTGACCAAGAAAATCTGGGTGTTTACGAACGCCCTCTCACCCTGCTGTATGCTTGCAAGGGCAGTGAGCACCTAGAGAACTACTGAGTCTGTTAAGCTGGATGGGAAGAGGGATGAGTGGAAGAAGCAGGTGTTTTAAGCGACCCATGAGCGCTTTCTGCAAGGAACTTGGATTACCAGTTGTCTGCCGAGCCCATGTCTTCCTGCCTTGAACCTACATTCAAAAAAACACGGACTTGAAGCATTGGTTTACAGTAACTCTTTTTATGGTTGAAGAAAGTTGTGAATTCAAGGGGAAACTGTGATGGTTCTTGCCACTCGAGTCATACAGTTATGGGCGGCCTACTCTTAAGCCTCTGTTTACAGCTACCATCAAACTCATCATTTACAAGGTACAGGAGCACTTGGGTAGATTTGTCTCTTTGTCTTTCATGGTATCTAGTACCATATTCCTCCCCACCCCCACCTATTCTGATTTCAAGAAAAGATACTGTTACCAAAGGTGTGTGAAAGGCATGCTATGCTGGCCATCAGCTTCAGCCTGGAGAAGCCATCCCTGAATCCTGTTAGTGTGTCTTAAGTTTATTTGGACAGTTGTTTTCCCAACCCATCAAAACTCGGTCCTTTCGGTATATTATTTTCCTCGGGAAGGCTTATGCACTTTTATAAGTAAATGTATTTTTTAGGACACTAGGAAGGAGCTCAGTTCACAATTTTGATGCTTCTCCTACTTTACAGAATTATGCAAAAGAACTTAAAAAAAAAAAAAGCCTAGGAGAGTGAGTCCTACTTGACCTAGGTGACTGTGTGACCCACTGGGATAGTTTCAGCAGGTATAAAATTTTACTGTTCCTACATGCCCAGCTTTGTGAGTTTTGTACGTTTGGCCTCTGGGTACATTCCTTTTGCCTTTCCTGCCTGTAAGGCACACGTTTGCTGATACTCATAGGGAACTAACCTGGGTACCAGGTGCTGCCTTCGTGTGTCAGAGACGTAGGTGGCAGAGTCGGTTCTGAAAGTGAGTGCGTCAGTTCCTGGCCATTCTCCCAGGATGAGGACTTCCAGGGTCTAGAGGACAGTGGCTTCTGTGTGACTGCCCCTGTGTTGTGTGATAGACGTATCAGGAAAAGATCCTGTAACTTGAAATAAAGTCTGTGCAAAATCAGTTTGTAGATGTGGGAGAGAGGTTGGAAGGAAAGGACTAGGACCTGGGAAGCTTAAGGATTTCTCCTTTTTTTCTTATGACTTCCTTGTTGATGTTCTGAACAGCCACAGTCTAAAGTCAGATTTAAAAAGCAAACCCACAGCTTTTTCGTGTATGAGTCTATTGGATGGCATTATTTGACCTGGCTTTCCTTGTTAGGACACATGTCATAGGGAGCTTATATTGCCAGACATGCACATTCACTCCCAAAGCCTTTACCTCAAAAGGATGGAACTCTCACTTGTTTGCAGAGAGGGATGTGGACAAAGAAATTTCCTTATTCCAGCTACAGGGTGGTTTCCTGTAACAAGGAGAGGGCCGTGGAAGTGCAGAACTAGAAGTCTCTCTCTTTTCTGGGGCCGCTTTCCTTTCGTCTCCAGTAGCTTGTCCAAGCTCAGAATTATAAAGGCTGTTGGAAAGGTTGTGTGATAGACACATCAGGAAAAGATCTTGTCACTTGAAATAAAGTCTGTGCAAATTAAGTATGTGGATGTGGGAGAGAGGTTGGTAGGAAAGGTTATGATTGCAGAAAGAGACGTTTTCTAGGTCTGGGTATTGCTGTCACAAAGAGTACAATGGATTCTTGTGTGCTCCAGTCTGGAAAGTGCTCCTGGGATCCAGATCTGGCCATTTCCTCATCCTGAAGGCTTGCTCCTCTGACAGCAGGACAGGCTATAATACTAGGTGCAGTCCAGAGGGCTTGTCTTTCCGTATGAGGCTCCACTTTGTGGAGTGTCACAAGGCATATTTAGACAGGACTACGAAATGTTCCTGCCAAGTGAGCAGTGAGTCTGGCTGGATTTTCTAGAGTGTGCGGACTCCAGGATCAGAAAGCAGCTCGCAGTATTACCCCTTCTTAAATGTTTAGGCTGATGCTTCCAGTGGCTCCTCTTATAGCTCAACTCTTCATTTGTTTTGTTGTGAGGTGGGAGCACAGCTGTTCCCCAGATCACAGGCTCAGCTATAAATGAGTGGCCAGATTATTATGATCTCTGAATACATAATAATCTGGCCACTCAGTGTATATCCTATATAATAAAAGGCTAATATGCAAATTGTCCCCTTGACCAGGAGTTCTACCAGCAGGCAGGCTGGCCAACTGCCCACATCACTTCCCCCTGGCCAGGCTGGCCGGACCCCACCCATGCACCTATTCATGCACCAGGCCTCTAATCCTATATAATAAAAGCCTAATATGTTAAGTGTCCAGATGACTGTTCAACCAACCAAAGCGTAATATTCTAATGATATACTAAGGCCACTCAACCGCTCACTATAATGTGCACTGACAACCAGGGGGCAGACAATTGACCAGTCGCTATGACATGTATTGATCACCAGGAGACAGATGCTCTGACTGGTAGGTTAGCTTGCTGCTGGGGTCTGGCTGATCAGGACTGAGTGAGATTGGCCAGACATGCCTTAGAGCCCGGCCGCAATCCCTCTCTGGCTAGCTAACCTCTCGCATCCCTCCTCAGCCCCTATTGTGCACTGTTGGGGTCCCTCAGTCTGGCCTGCACCCTCTCACACAATCTGGGACTGACCCCTCGGGGGATGTGAGAGAGCTGGTTTTGGCCCAATCCTGCAGGCCAGGCCGAGGGACCCCTCTGGTGCACAAATTCATGCACTGGGCCTCTAATTGTGTGTGTGTGTGTGTGTGTGTGTGTGTGGCCAGATTATTATGCATTCAGAGATCATCATAATCTGGCCACTCAGTGTAGTCAATTCTTAGCAAAAAAGGTATTTGGGTCTCATTGGACCTTGACTGGGAAAGGCTGGGCACCTCTATCTATCTCATAGGAGAGGGTCTGGGTGCCAGTCAGGCTGGATTCTGTTATCTTTTAATGGTGAGACTGTTATTTATAAGTGACCACTTTGATATTGAGTTTCAGTCATTATTCTGTTGAAACTTCTTTTTTATTGGCAACTGGAAGTTTAAGAATTTTTATAGAAACAAAACATACATTTTTAATAGTTGCCAATTCTGGTTGGTCTCAGTGTTAGTTTATTAGTGATTCTGATTTTTATGGTCATTGAACTCTTAAAACTCCAAATTGAAAATTATTTTATTTCTTGCTCTTGAAGAAGAAAAACATAAAAATAAAGGAAATGCCTTTTCAGTTTCTCCAGGCCATAGATCTAGAGCAGAAAACTTGATGGGCACAGCCTAGGCCTAAGCACCTGCAACTTTGGGTCTTTGTGATTGCAGCAGGTGATTTGGGGGGTTATGTTAGGTCAAATAAAAAAAGATCATAAAAGGCTGAGCCTTTGTAGCACCTTGGTTTCCAAAGTTAAAATAACTGGGACCTTTTAAGTTCAGGTTCTAATGCTAACTCTATGGCTTAAAAGTGTTTTTAGTGAAATATTAAGCATTTCTCAAATTGTGTATTGTTACAATGTCAAAGAATTGTATTAATTTCGGAGAGGCTTGGAAGTAAGGAGGTCGGTTGGCTACTCTGGCAATGATATGTCAGAGAGGAAAGTCATTTGAAGTGGCCAAAGGAAATAGCTTGATTGAATCTTCTGCTGTTGCAAACACTGTAGAAACACCAGGAGCCCAGGGATCTACCTGCCGTGATTGGAAGGGGCAAGCGGTCTTCCATCAGGGTACCAGCAAATGGATGTTTCAGTGGTCGACAAACTGCGGCTTGAGAGCCTGTTTGTCGCAGTTTATCGCTCTGTTGACTAATGAGTTTGCTGACCACTGGTTTAGGTGATGCTGAGACACGGGAACGGGCAAGAAGAGACCATTTAACTAAGATTGGAGATATCCACCTGTTGGGAAAGGCTGTGTATCCCCCCAGCACTCCCCTTGGGGATAATGCAATCTGCATTTGTGTAGGGGGTGGGTGGGAAGCACAGGAGAGTTGACCCAGATCTGGTGCACATTTGGAACCTTCATTTCCTCCTTCCTCTGCTTGCGGTTCCCGAGGGGATCATTGCCTCCTCGTTGCCCATGGGGATCCTTCGTTCCTCTGGTCCCTCTGTAGTTCACAGAGCACTTTCTTCAGCAACTGCTCTGCTGTGGTGTGAATTTCATTCAGACTTGGTTAGTCACAGTTTTTAAAGTCCCCCCCCCCTCCTCCTTTGCTTTTAATCTTCTGTCTTTATTTCTCCCATCTTGAACCTATAATTGGTGACAAGGAACAGTAGGAGACTGACTGAAGCAACACTCAGGTTTTTTGCTTGACCTTCTGCCCCCCCCCCCCCCCCCCCCCGCTCCTGCTGTCCCCAGTCTAGTGTTTATGGGAGTCCCAGGAACAGGACAGCCAAGTTCACTGAATTCCACAAGATGTCAGCCAAGAGTCACCACCCCACCCCAGGGGATAAGAAAGAAATCTGCAGAGGGACAGAGGCACCATCTTTATTCCAAAAGAAAAAGCCCCCTTATGTTTTGTTATTACGAGGAGGCTCATTTCTGGGACTACTTCTTACAGGTGGCCTTTTACTTCATAATAATGAAGACGCATCCTAGGCAATTTACTATAAAATGGACAGTGTTTTCATTCTGAACTCAACGCTAAGTGATCATCCTGCCCTGTGGATCGTGAACCTCAGGAATGTTTAGTGCTTGGTGGGTGGTTCGGGAGGCAGGGTAATTAAAAAAAAAAAAATTATTGAGGCATATTTTACATATGATAAATGCACCCATTTCAAGTGTTAAATTCAGTGATTTTAGTGACTTTCCTGAGTGGCACAGTCATAACTGTCACTGTTTTAGAACATTTTCATCCACCCCAATAAGATCCTTTATTTATTGCACAGTAATCCCTGTTCCCAGCTTTCCATCACTTGCCTCTTCTGGACATCGTATCAGTGGAATCATACAAAACCTGACCTCTTGCTTCTGGCTTTTTCCACTCGGCGTATGTTGTGGTGTGTCCACGGTGTTTAACTTGTGTCGGTCATCTGTCTCTTTTTGTTGCTATGGCATTCCATTGATAGCTCTCCCGCATTTTGTCAGCAAGGAGTCCTTGAAACTTGGGTTTCAACCTCCCGTGGTCTAAAGGAGCCCTTAGAACATAGGACTCCAGGGGAAGGTGCTCTTCACGTCCAAGGAACCGCTTATCAGAACCAGCTTTGTTATCAGAAGCTCCGAGACCTTGGGAGCCTGAGCTGCTGCAGAAATTTTTATAGTTTTGCAACTTTTTTATAAGGAACTCTTTTGCTATCTACCTGTCTGTACTTTTGAAGCATCTGGTAATTAATTTATTCTAAAGTATGAGTATGTGTTGGAGTAGACAAATGAACCAGCAATAATACTGTGTTGGAGATTTTCTTTCCTCCCCAGCTGGATGGGGGAGTCTCTGAAGTTTCTAAATACAGTAGTATCATCTCCATGACAAGGTGGGGCCTTTGTGGAGGATCATGCTGCCTTTGTTGGACAGATGTTGAGGAGAGAGGACCGCGTGCAGAGGAGAAAGGAAGTGCAGCTTGTGAAACAAGAAGCCCGCAGACCGGCGCACGCCCACCTCTGGTGTGGGAGGTGAAGCGCTGATGGTGTCCACCTGCAGCTTAGCCCCTCCAGCAGGCCCGGGTCTTGTCTTTGGACTTTTATCCCTGTTTCACAGTGTTTAAAAGCTGTTTTTGTCCCACACACTCCAATGAACATTACATGGTAGTTATTAATAATACTTCTTTGGGGGAGGAGCAGGGCTTTAAAATTAAAATAATTTTCATAAAAATGTAAAAAAATAGAAAAGTTACTTTAAAAATCTTGCTATACAAACCAAATGGCAGCTGTTGAAAATATTAATAAAATGAGAATAAAATGCATTTGCTGGCAACGGAACTCTTTTTCCTAAAGTTGGGTCATTATATATATCGCACTATACAGGTGGTGGTATACATGTGTATGTGTTTGCGAGATAATTTTGTCTCAAGATTGATCAGAGTTTTAGTTGTATAAGTTTCCATTCCAAATAGTATTACATGATAACGTTAAGCATTGCCCTGTGTAAATTCCACCTTCTTCACTTTCTTTGTGCTTTTGATCTGACCTTGTTTATTAATAAAACTGACACACCTCCTTCCTAGGGCCAATGTGACAATTAGACTAAATTTAATTTCAAAATACTTCCTTAAAATATGGTAGCAATAGTGGTAATAATATGTACAGCTTTGAACAAAAATGGTAACAGGAAAACCTCAGGCTTGAAGGGAAACTGGATAGCTATTATTGTTCCTGTTTCTGGACAAAACTGACTTATCTAGAAAACAAGGATTCTGTATCTTTCAATTACTGAACAAGTTTGAGAGCCTGCTAGATCCAAGCACTGTCCTAGGTACGGGTGCTACTGTGGTAACAACCTATGTGCTGGCACTAAAATTTTAAAAAATCAGTTATTATGTGCTCCTTGCTCTGCTCTAAATCCTCCACTGTCCAGTTGGCACACCAGAGCCTAGACAGTGGTAAGAAAGATGAGGCTCCTATTTTATTTATTTTTAATGTATTTTTATTGATTTTCTTTCAAAGAGGGAGAGGAATAGTTAGAAACATTGATGAGAGAGAAACATCAATCAGCTGCCTCCTGCACGCCCCCTATTGGTGATGTGCCCGCAACCAAGGTGCATACCCTTGACCCAAATCGAACCTGGGACCCTTCAGTCCACAGACCAACCTCTATCCACTGAGCCAAACTGATTAGGGCGAGGCTTCTGTTTTAAACGCTTCACCAATAAAGTTTTAGATTCTAAATCCAAAATACTGCTTGATCTTGACATGTAAAAACCTTCTCCAACGCTCACTGCTCACCAACAGTGTTATTAGGGCAAAGAGATAAAGCAAAGGCATCTCTAGGGTGTCCCTGTTCTCTTTGTCAGCTCTTTACCAGATGATGCATTAGACTTGCTGAGAGCTGGAGCCCGGTGGGTTGAACCACAGCTAGATGCAAAGATGTCTGGCTCTCCCTTCAGAAGGGACTTGGCTTGAGTTCTCATTGCTCAAAGCTCCACCTTACTATCTTGGGCAAGAGCTGATGGAATGAGAGCTGCTGCCATTCTCTTATACACTGTGAAATAAGTGCCATCCGGCTTGGGAAACCAAATATCAAGTCCCCTTCAAGGACCTAATCAGAATTCAAAAGCTGTAAGGCAGAGCTCACTCAAATGCAGATCCTGGACCTCTGCAGCAGAAATGACAAAAGGTGTTTAGAATAAATGAAAATTCCCTATCTCACCCTGGCTGGTTTGAGCATTGGCCTGCAGACTAAAGGATCCCGGGTTTAATTCCGGTCAAGGGCACGTAACTTGATTGCAGGCTCCTCTCTGGCCCAGGCCCTGGTCGGGGAATGTGCAGGAGGCAACCAATTGATGTGTTTCTTTCACACTGATGTTTCTGTCTTTCCCTCTCTCTTCTATTCTCCCTAAATAAAAATCAATGGAAAAATATCCTTGAGTGAGGATTTAAAAAAAAATTATTTTTAAATAGAAAATTCCTTATTTCATCTTTGACCTATTGAATCAGATACCTTATAGAGGAGGGAGGGAGAAAACAGAAATCTAGGTTTAAAACAAGTTCTAGAATAACTGATACATTAAGTCTGAGAAATGTCCAGGACATAATCCATGCCCTTCTAACAGCTTACACTCTGAACGCCTAGAGAGGCAGCCACTATTAAGGACTTCAGCCTTCACTAAGCAGTAGAGTTGGCAGAAGAGGACACTTTTGAGCTTGTCAAACTACATTATCCTAAGGACAGGAATCATGTCTGCCCTCCACTGATGCTCACCTTTCCCGGTGCTACGCTACAGATGCAAAGTGTCATGCTGTAACCAGAGCCAGGCTAGTCCCAGAATAGGCAGGCACCTAGTTAAATTCTATCTGGTTGGTCTTGGATCTCAGCCATCCTCAACTTCTCAAAGGACTCAATTAACACAGAAAACTGCAAAATGTGCTGCTCACCCCTAAATACCAATTCTCCCAGAGGAGATTTGCACCCTGTCCCCTAAATTCTACGTGGTACTCTCAGGAGAGGGTGTGGTATATGTACGGTTATACCCGGTAATGTTTTGCATGGAGAACATTGAGTTCCACTGAAACGCTCTGGCAGAGATCATTACCCACTTTGAGGACACGGCTTAACTGGCAGCAGCAGCCGGAGTATACTAACACGGGGGGAGGGTGGCACACGGATAAATTATAAGGCCAAATGCAGGGCAAGCACTTTAGTCCACAGGCCAAGCCCCTGGGGGTGGGGCTAGACCCATTCCCAAGCCCTCCGGGCCACCTGCAGGCAGGTGCACTGAAGGTCCATAGCAAGTGTGCTTCACGACACAATCCAACTGGAGAGTGGGTAAAGTGCATTTATTTTCTATGTTTTTCCTTTAAAAAAGAAAAAGGAAAAGGGGAAAAAAGCCCCTCCCTCCCAGCACCCATTGTCCACTGGCCACGGAGGGGGTGGGGCCCTCTAGGGGAAGGTGTAGGAGAAGAAGGCCGAGGCATTGACACTGTAGTCCAGAGGGAGGAGGTGCCCCACGTGCCTGGCCCCGAGGCTGGCCCCGCCCAGGGCAGAGGAGTGATTGAGCTTCATCAGGGTGAAGCTGGAGAAGGAGTTCTGAGCCTGGATCTCTCTGCCCTGGGTCAGCGCCAAGAGGAAACCTGGAGGAAAAGAGGACAGATGAAAGGAGACCAACAGCCTGTGACGGAGACCAGGGCGGGGACAGAGCGAGGAAAGAGGCCCACCCCCTGAGGTATTCCTGCACAGGTCCTAGGGGACCCCCAAGCCAAATCCCCAACGGGTGGCACACCAGTGTGTGAGCCCAGTGATGACGGGGGGTACTGGAGCCAGCTGTCCCCAGGGCCTGAAGCCGGAACCCCGAGGTAGCAAGGGTCCTTCAGCTACGTCAGGACGCCTATTGCAACCAGAGTGCCCAAGGCAAGGCGGCACGGACACAGAAGGCACGCTTCTCTCCTCTGGACACTGTTGAGACGAGGGACCTCACCACATGCTGGTCTGAAGCTCTGATTTTAAGTTAGATTTGTCTTTAATTTTTAAATAATGGTGTTATTTAATAAATCCTTTAAAAAAGAATATCTTTTTAAGGATTCACAGAAGCTGGATGGGACCTTGTAAGAGGGCTCCCTGGCAGACTGAAGGCTGAGGGCCTGGAGCTCAGGCATCAGTGTCCTCCGATCCCAAGTCCTCCCTGGAGCTGAGAGCTTTCCTGAGCCACCCCTTCCCGCATCATCCCTTGCCCTCTTCTCCCCTCTCCACCCCTCCCCCCGCCCAACACACACTCACCTTCCTTCAGCAGCTCCCAGCTCTTCCACACAGAGCCCACACACAAAATGGGGAGGCCAAGCTCCCCTTTGAACAAGACCTGGCCAGAGTGCAGAAATGGACAGTGGGGTGACCAAGTCTCCGATGCTGAAGGGGACAATCTTAAAACAAAGGCTCCCTATCCCACTTACACGCCACTAGTCAAGAACCAGAGGTGAACTCAAGGGGTTAAAAAAAAAAAAAAAAAAAAAAGGAAAATAGGGAGATGCACAAAGGCAAGGGAGAGAGGGGAATGGAAAAAGCATTGAGCGGCAATAGAGGAAGGAGCAAGGAGAGAGGGAATGGGCAGAAACACGACTGAAAGGGGAGCGCAGTACCACATTGAACCAATGCACTACATGTAAAGGAAGACTACAGACCAGCCATAGACAGGAGGTACCGGACCAAAGAATGTTTTTGTGTTATAAACATTATTTCTTCTCAAACCCAAGTTTTCATTTAAAATCATCCAATTCACAGAGTCTGATGGGACTGGCTCACCCCTCGTGGGAAAGGGCCACACCGGGCCCAGCAGCTCCCACCTCAACTCACCGGGTCAATCTCAGGCAGCACTGCCACCACGTGCCTGCCCAGCATCTCCCCAGCCTTCCTGAAGATGTACCGGGAGAGGGGGTCTCCCTGCTGAGCACCTGGGAGAGGGGAGGAAGGAGGAGGGGCGCAGTGAGTACCCAGGGAGCCGCCAGGGCTCAGTTCTCGCTCTCTGGTGCAGGGCAGCAACAGCTAGGTCTGCCAGGAGTGACGCCCACCTCAGTGATGCCTCCAAAGCTGCCACTCCATCCTTACTTCCCCCACCCCTACCAGGCACTTCTCCCCAGGAAGGGTGTCCTGGATGGAAGGGGCTCGTTCTAGGCACTTGAGAAGGGATGCCCCCCACTAGGGAAGCACACTGGCACCTGGCTCACACTCCGCTTACACGGGGTGATTGAGTCTGTCCCAGAGGGTCTCAGCTCTGGGGGCCCAGGACTCTACCTAGCAGCTGGTTGATGCTCCTATCAGGTCTTCCACCCTCCTTTCACAGTCAGTCCCTTCCCAGTTCTGCTCTGAAGGGACCTCAGGACGGCAGGATCCACCAATGCCCTGAGGCTGCAGGAATCCAAGTTAGGGAAGTGTGGACCAGAGTCACGTGCAGACAAATCGGCCCTATGGTTCAACTGCTCTGACACCCAACCAAACATGCCTAACCCCTCCAGGGTCCTCTAGTTCTTTGGGTATCATGGGTTTAAAAAAAAAAGTTATAGATTTGCTCAAAGGACAACTGCTTCATCAATTTCTCAGAAACGGACATACAGCCTGCACAAGCCATGATAGCTGACAAGAGAAACAGGTCGTATAAAACAATGTCAGCACAACTGTGTGTCCTTCTGCCTCACCCCAAGGCCCATGGTGGCAGAGAACTGAGGTCACTTGGACCAAGGGAAATCAAACTGGCTTCCAGTTCCCATCTGAACCTTACTCCACTACGGCCTGGGAAGTCTTATGAGGGAACCAAGCCAGAAAAAACCCTGTACCTTCTGCAATTTTCCGGCAAAACCCAGCAAACCTGGATTTATCAAAGTCCCTGTACAGATGTGCGAGGATTCCTAGCCGATCTGGCACCTGAGAGGCAGAGAAAAGGTACAAGAAAGTCATCAGAAGCAAAGGAAAATCCTCAGTCTGCCCATCCAAGCTGACCTTCCTCATGTCTCTACTGTTGGAAAAGGTGGAACGTTTGTTCTTTTAAGCTCTAGAGAATGCAAGGATTTGAGGTTTCTCATTTAAGAGAAGTTCTTTGTTCTTCCAACACAAGCTCCATTGCTCCTTACGGACAGAGTGCAGATCTCTGCTCACCAAAGTGTGCTCTGCAGTTCCCTGAGGTGCTGGTGAACAGATTCATTTGATCAAAGGAATCTGAAGACTACTGCACACTGTAACTCTCCCTTAGACATTCACAGTGCACATTAGCAAGTTAAAGGCTCTGAGAAGTCCTGAACCAAGAAATCTATTTGTTTCCCCCAAATTATTTGGCCACAGAAGGTCCTTCTTCTATCCCAACAAAGTTAAAACACGAGTTATACCTCTGAAAGTCCTGAGGAACCAGTGCTTCCCCAGACACATCACTAAGATGGAAAAAGAGGGGCTAAAATTTGAGCTCCTACAGCAATGTATTACTCATGTGATAAAGACTACTTATTCGCTCCTTATAATGACTTTATGAAAATGACCAAAGGATGAGAGGGGGAGTGGTGGATATATCACTGGATTTAGATCCAATTGCTGAGTCAGCATACCTTACCTCCACTTCCTCTAGCAGTTGCTATTCCTACTCCTCAGCTTGGCCCAGGCCAGTTTCTCTATAATCATCAATCTATGAGCCTCGGAAATACAGGTCCTACCTCCTGTATTTCTAATCTCGTTCCCTGACCCCATCCCCAGCTCACCTAAGTGGCCCTCGCTCAGAGAAATGTTTATTACATCAACATTCTCTTCCTTCTCCTCTCCCCACCTTTTACCTCTGGCTCAGATAAACTCAGCTGTTTCCAAAACCACTACAAATAAGCACAGCTGAGACGAGAAGGAGAAGGAATCCCTGATAGCCTGGGTAGGAGGTCACCTCCCTAAGAACTCTCCCATCCACCTCCTAAAGCCTCTCCTCCCTGACCCACGGGCCGAAACAGCCCACTGTCTCACATCTCTGTTCAGACTTTACCCCACCTCTGTCTGTGGGCACTGTTTCCTGATCTCACTCTGCACTGCTCATTCTAGCTTAGAGTGCCATCTGCCTTCACCTCCCGTCAGGGTCTAGCTGCCCAAGAATGCAGTGTGGCTAACCGCCTATCCCTAAGCTACTCCTCCCTCATGCCTGATACCGCCCTGGAATGTACCGCCACATCGATCCAAATCCTGTCCTCACCTATGACTTCCCTATCCTCTAGCTCTGACCATGACTCACCCGACTTCCCTTTGGCTCACCCAGTCCCTCTCTTGCATCTCTCCTGCTCGGGCTCCCACTGCCCTACCCAGGTGTGCGTGTCTGCCAGGGGCACAGAGAGTACCTGGAAATAGTTGAACATGGCCTGTTTGACGTAGCCAATGTCGTGAGGAGCTGCCTCCAGGTTGTCGATGGAGTCGAAGACTATTTTCACTGCTTGGTGTGCGATCCAGTAGGCTGTGGAGAGCAGACAGGGCTAGAAGAGCGGGCAATCTCCCCCAGCTCACAGGGAAGGAACCTCGGGCCTAGACAGGGTTAGCAGTCAGCATGTATACAACAGCAAGTTAGGTGTCCCGATTCCCTGACAGGGGGCCTCTAATTAAACTGTATCTGACGGATCACATAAGGGAAGGCTGGGAGGGGAAGACAGAACAGGTGTCACACCAGCTGCTAGGAACTGGGCCCCAAGGGCCCCTATGAAAACGTACACCTGCTGCCTATAAAGATGTGATAGCAGGAGAAGCATCTATACCCCTTGCCCATTAGCAGAAACTACTGTGTTTCCCCGAAATAAGACATCCTCCGAAAATAAGACCTAGCGCATAGAAAGATAAGACAACCCCTGAAAATAAGACCCAGCGCAACTTTGGGAGAAAAAAATTAATATAAGACACTGTCTTATTTTTGGGGAAGCAGGGTAGTAGAGCATCTGCTGGCCTCTATGGCCTTAACCTTCCTACGGTAGTGTCAACTCCTCCCCAGGGCTACGAAGCCAACACACGTCGTCAACACCTATTATGCTGAGGCATGAACCTGAGTCCTGGATGCAAATCTCTGCTGAAGAGCAAGGCAGCCGCTTGTCCAGCATGTGCATCTCTATGCTGCCACTGTTTTGTACTCAGGACCATCGATTCAGGAGCTGTGCCTGGAAAGCCCCAAGAGGTCAGCAGGATGAGGGCAAGAGAGAAGCCTGGAGAGCTGCAGGTAGGGAAGGGCCCGGGACCCCGAGCCAGGCCCAGGCGGTGTGAGCTCACCTGAGCCCTCGTCCCCCATCATGTGGCCCCAGCCGCCGCAGCCGCTCTCAGAGCCATCGGGGTTGACGAGCCTGCAGTTGGAGCCTGTGCCAGAGATGAGCACGATCCCACCTGGGGAAAGGGCACAGGGGCTCAGGGTGGCCAACGCACTGCGCATAGCGTGCCCACACCTTCCAACCGAATAAGGGACAAAACCCAGCCCCGGGCCAGGGGGCGCCACCCAGCCTTGCAGAGAAATCTGGCTAGCTTCCTGCTGGAGGTGAGGGAACCGGCTCTCAGAGAAACTCCAATCTGGGGACAGAGAGAATATGAGCCTGTGTCGCCTTGCCCAGCCAGCCTTCAAGTGATTACCTGCTTTATTGAGTACCTACTATATGCCCGGGATGGTGCTAGATCCTATTCACAGTTATGCTCAATAGCCTCAACCACCTCATCAATATGCCAATCTTGTGGTACCAATGCTTTTTATACTCCTATCAGAGCTCCTCTTTTTTTTTTTTTTTTTTTTCTCAGTATTTACTGCTTTCCTCAGCCAGCCTCAGGTCTGAAGGAGGTTGCCTTCCAGATATTTGCAAGACAAATTCTCCCAGCTACATCTAAGAAGCTTTCTCAAGAAAAACAGTTCTCAACCTCACCCCTCCCTCCACCTCCTCACCAGCCGGCGTAGCTGTAGCGATGGAGCCAGCGGCATCGGTGGTGATTACATAGCTTTCGCTCAGGCAGGGAAATCGGTCCTTCAGCTCCTCCATCAGGATCCTCACAGAGTCTTCCTGCTCCCCACCACTCAGGGATAGGCCCTAGGCCACGGGGGAGGTGAGCAAGCAGCAAGGTGTAGACCCATCTCCTTTCTCCTCCCCCACCCCTGCTGCTACCTGCCCCCTGCTCTCTACATCTGGGCCCTGCTTATCCAACCCCAGGCTTCCTTCCACCCCACATGCTAACCCCTTGGAAGGTTGTGGACTGGGAATGGACAGGGACGGGATTCAACGATGCCAAGTTTGGAGTTTAGGATGACAGCAGTGCCCTTAACAGAGAAATTAGGCAGAGGAGCAAGTTGAGGAGAGACAAGCTTGGTGGGAACACATGGGGTTGGCTGTGCCAGCAAGAGCATCTCACTGAGGACATCTCCCGGGACAAGCCAGGGCTACAGCAACCTGAGAGAGGCCTGAGCTGGGAAGAAGAGCTCACTTAGTGAGTGCTTACGGGCGAGGCTCTCCGCTAACCACTTCAGAATGTGTCGTGTCATTTCCTTTCCCAGCACCTCGGAGGCAGCTACTGTTGTCTGCACTTTCCAAACGAGGGAAATGAGGCGCACAGAGATGTTGAGTGACAAACCAAGGTCACAGTGGCTCTCCAAAGCCCCGTGCTCTTCCAGTTGTTATGGCTTGTGGATAACCACTGAAGCCATGCGAGTTTCTAGACCAGAGAATAGGCCTCCAAGGTCTTTATCTCTGCAGTCCAGGTCATCAGACTCAGCTAGCTCAAACCCGCTTTCCTAGTGTTACCGTGACTTTCTGTATCTCCCAGGCTCTACCCCAGACTCACCAAGCTTCGCAGGGGCACCAGAGGATCCACTCCTGCTTTCTGCTTGGCCCTGCTCACCATCTCGTTGATCCTCTCCACACACTTGTCTGTCCCGATCAGCTAGCCCCAATCAAGGGAAGGAGGCGTTACAAAGGCCTGCGCCCCTGTGCGGCCCCTCCAGGCTGCTACCAGGAATCACAGAGAATGAATAAAACCACAGCCAAGCCCCTCAGTGTGGCCTTTACCCAGTGGTTTGTGCTGAGTCCATCCGCTTCTGCCAGAATCTGCCCATCCTCTGAGAGTAAAAGGACCTTGGATTGTGTTCCTCCCCTACGGGAACACAAGTCTCAGAAAAACCTGAAGGCACAGCTAAGCTTGTGCAGTCCCTGTCACCGAGCCCGTGTGACAGAGACGGATTCAGTAAACCCAGTCACCATCCCCACACCTACCTCTGTGGTTTGGTGGCTGTTTGTGCTCCTGGACTATAAGGGAGTCCTGCTCAGCTTCCCTTGGGGACAGCTTACTCATCCTGCAAGGCCCTCCCTATACCTCAGCCAGTCCTTGAAACCTCTGGTGTGTGGGCCACTCACACAGCTCCAATATAACTTCTAAGGATTCCTCTGTATTAAGTGTAGTCAGTGTTCTTCTGTGTGCCTCTCACTAGACTACAAGTTCCAGATCATTTATCCTCATCCCTAACACAGGCAACACTCACTAAATGTGATCAAGGGAATGGCACATCTCTCTGCTTCTCACAAAAGCAGACCCAGCCCATTTCCAGACCCAGCCCCGGCTGCCAAGGTCTTTAAGACACCTTGGTGAGAAACACTGACCAGGTGGCAGGGAGTTTATACCCACTTAAGCAACTACTCGGCCAAATGCTTACTACGGGGGGAAATGGAAGTTGGGAGGGAGGTCTGTGGTGGTGTGCTGTATGTTTCTATACCAACCAGTACTTTTGAGACTATCAGAAGAGGACACTGAAGACCTGCTGACCAAACTGAAAAATGACAAGACGTTTCAAGGGGAAGTGAATGCCTGAGATTCAACATGGGAAAGAATCTTTTGACAAACATGGGGGTGGGGGAAGGGTCATATATCTTATAACAGGGATGAATCCAAACTCTCGCACTTAGTTTTTTTTGGGGGGTTATTTTGTTGTTGTTTGTTTTAAAAAAGGGCAATAGTTACAGGATGGGGAAGATCAACTTTAACAATGCATGTGAAAAGAACATGTTGGGGTCCCATGAGTCAGCAGAGATGTGGCTGCCATGTAAAGTAATCCAAATTCAGATTCAAAAGTGCCCTGGCTGAGACAGCAGCCGTCTCTGTTATGCTCTGATTTGATGCACCCAGATTCAGAGACTGTTGTCACTGGCAGGAGAATTGACAATCATCTCTTCATCTCTCTTCTCACTTTATGCACCAGTTACTGATTCTGGAAAGAACCCTGTTGTTCTTGCATTTTTCCTGCTCAGAAGATTACCCAATATAGAGAAAAAGTCTTGCCCATATTAATACCGAGGGGAAGAGCTATTACAAAAAGTCCAGGGGACAATCTTCTGAGCAGGAAAATTGCAAGGATAACTGGGCTCTTTCCAGGATCAGGAGCCTGGAACGCTGACAAGAAAAAAGGAGTTTCAGGGATCAGCACTCTAGTTCCAGCGGCCCCAGCTCCCGGGTACCCTCTGGCAAAGATCTCCGTCCCGGTTTCCACCACACTCTCCCTCCCCATCCCCCCAGGCCAGCAACTTCACCCCTGACACCTGTTCTGCCAAACTCTCCGTGGGGTGGGGAATGGGGAAAGGAGGGTATCTCCAGCCGGGAACAGAGGAGTGGGGTCCTTCTTGGGAGAAAGGGGCGTGGTCCCGCCGTGAAACACAAAGGAGGACCCCCCGGGGTGTGGCGCCAGCAGAGCCCCTGCAAGACACGCACCCGCGCGAACACGGGCACCGCCGCACACGCCCAGACCCTGCTCTGCAAGGCCCCGCAGCCTCGCATCCCCGAGTGGCCGGTCTTGGGGGCGGGAGGCCACCGGCCCGTCCACGGCCCTCCTTCCGCCCCGCACTCGGGCTGGGGCAGGTCCGGGCCGCTTCCAGGACGCCCCGCCCGGGCTCCCTCCACCCGGCCGCACTCACCCCTCCACACCCCCGTAGAGCGCGGCCATGCCGAGGTAACCGCCGCCGCGGATCGCGCCGTCTGCTCCCCTCCCGCCCGCCCGCCCGGCACCGCCTGCGTCACGTGAGCGCCCGCGGGGGGCGTGGCGCCGCCGCCGGAGCCCAGGACCGCCCTGCCCGAGGGGCTCCGGGGCGGACGAGGGCGCTCCTCCGCGGCCCCCGCAGGCCCCTCCCCAGCGCCTGGCCCCGGCTTCCAGAGATCGGCACCGGCCCCAGCGGAGGAGCCAGAGAGGGTGTCCCGGGCGGACCCGCCCCTCGGCCCCGGAAGTGCTGGCGGCCCCGCCTGGCGCGTGCGCACTGCCCGAGAGCCACGTAGACTTGCCGGGCTGAGGTGCTGCATGGGTGTGAATACGCATCCCCTAAGGATCTGGAAGCGGCTGGGGAATGAGGGGAACCTGGAGGCTGGCCTTGGTCTTGAACTTGGTCTTGGCCTTGACCTTGACCTTGGTCTGGGCCTTGGCCCAAGAGAAGGGGCTTTTAGTTTTTACTGCCCATCCAGTTTGGTTCTTGGAAGGTGGGAAAGGGGAATGTGAGGAAAAGAGTGAAGATAGGCAATATATAAAATAGACACATTTTAAGCAAGCTGCTCCAATTATTAATATTATGAAGGTTGAGGCAAGAGAAAAGAGTTCACTCTTAATTCTAATACCCTGGGAACGTAAACTTTGAGTTTTCCAATCCCGCATCCATGCCTGGATATACATCTGGACTTCGGGTAATCCTCTCCCCCTGAAGGACTCCCATACGTATGTATCCACATGACATCCGTTAGCCAGACCACTGGGTGTGACCAGGCCTGACAGCATCTTCTGGACCACCTGGGCATCCGTCCTCCCGACTGCCTGACATCTGTTTGAATATATATATATATATATATATATATATATATATATATATATATATTTTATTTTTTTTTTTTTTTTTTTTTTTTTTTTTTTTTTTTACTATAAGAACTTTTAACTTTTCTCCTTTGGAATACTTCTGGGGTTTTGCTTAGCTGTGTTCCTAGCTGCAAACTCCAAGACCTTTGAATAAATATAACTTACTTGCGAAGATTCCGGGCTCTTTTTGAGTTCATTTGACAGGGGTATTTGTGGGGATGTAGACTTCCAGACAAAGTAGCAGGTCCAGCTTTACAAGCCTTTTATTGCCCTCCAGCTACCACCCTTCGAAGGGGGGAAAACTAGCCAGGTCAAGCTAGGGCTCCTGCTTCTGAGCTCTGGACGGGTGGCTCCGCTGGGCAGGAGGGTGGTCAGCTGCCTTTGGCATTTCTTTCGGAACAATAGTCTCGGGGCTGGTCCTTCGCAGGGCAGTTCTCAAGCTAGCCTCTCCCCAAACCCCAATGTGTCTGTCATCTTACCGAGAAATCCTGCACCAGGAGCCTCTTTCTCTGATAGCCATCTGGGTTTGCTTATCCTTTGGCATAAACATTTGACATGTATGTGAGTTTCAAATGGGAAGAGAGGGGGTCTTTACCTAATTTCTTACTTATTTTGGGATGCTGAAACCCTACAGGGTAACCCCCAGGAGTCATTAAAAACTAAGTCCCTATGTCATAGAGACTACCCGAGAGACAGGTAGGGCTGTTTTATGCATATTTATATTCTTTTTTTAATATATTTTATTGATTTTGTACAGAGAGGAAGGGAGAGAGAGATAGAGAGCTAGAAACATCGATGAGAGAGAGTCATCGATCAGCTGCCTCTTGCACACCCCCTACTGGGGATCTGCCCGCAACCAAGGTACATGCCCTTGACCGGAATCGAACCCAGGACCCTTTAGTCCCCAAGCCGACGCTCTATCCATTGAGCCAAACCAGTCCCGGCCATATTTATATTCTTTTTCATCCATTGCACATCAGAGCTGGAAGGTGCTTGATCCAGCACATATGCATTTTTAGAATAATGACACTAACAGATTCTGGTGGAATTGAACTGGGCGTGATTTTTGAAGAGAGGAGATTGTAGGTGAGTTTTGAAAAAACTGTGTCTTTTCATGCACTAGAGCCGTGGTCAGCAAACTCCAGCTCGAGAGCCACATGCGGCTCTTTGGCCCCTTGAGTGTGGCTCTTCCACAAAATACCACAGCCTGGGCGAGTCTATTTTGAAGAAGTGGCATTAGAAGAAGTTTAAGTTTTAAAAATTTGGCTCTCAAAAGAAATGTCAATCGTTGTACTGTTGATATTTGGCTCAGTTGACAAATGAGTTTGCCGACCACTGCACTAGAGCAATGAGTCTTGAGACTTGTAGGTCTGACAATATTCCAGTTTGCCTTTGCATTGCTTGTTAGAAAAGAAAGCCAAAGAGAAAGTGTCAAGTTTTGAAGACAGGATTGAGTTCACCAATTACCAGCTGGTGATCTTGGGTGAATCACACATAATTGCTGCTGCTTCTGCTCATCTACAAAACGGAGAGGATAAGCATCTGCCTAGTCAGGCTAACATGGGTTTTGAATACCAAGAATATGGGAAACTGCCCTAACCGGTTTGGCTCAGTGGATAGAGCAGTCTACCTGTGAACTAAAAAGTCCCCGGTTCGATTCCAGTCAAGGGTAGCTGATGGATATTTCTAACTATCTCTTTTCCTACCTCTCTGTAAAATAATCAATAAGATACATTTTTAAAAAAGAGTTTGGGAACCTGTTAAGCACTATGGAGATCTTTAATGTTTAGATGCGTTATTGATCAGTGTATGCTGTCCAACACAGCAGCCACATGCAACTATCAAGCACCTGAAGTGTGGCTAGTCCAAAATGAGATGTGCTATGTGTGCAAAATACTCACAGGACTTCAAAGATGTAGCACCAAAACAGAAGGTAAAAACAGCTCCAATGATTTTTATGTGAATTGCATACTGAAATGATAAAGATAGTGGGTTAAAATGATGTATTATTAAAATTAATTTTGCCAGGCTGTCTTTCCCTTTTATAAACATAACTACTAGAAAATTTTAGATGACACAAGTGACACGTATTTGTGGCTCACCGGTTTCTGTTTCACAGTGGAGGTCTATGTCTTGTCTCCTATGCATCCAGACCAGAATATTTCAGTCCCTGAACAAAAGTATACAAGAGAGCTTTCTAGAACTAAGATATATAAAATAGTATTATTATGAATAGTGTTATTATTAATCTTCATTCAGTGCCATTTCTTCCTTAAATCAGTCCTATGCCATTATTTAGTTCATAATCAGGCACTCATTTGCTCCCTCCTAACAACACGATGAGAAAGAGATTTCCTCCACATATTACAAGTGGGTGGAACGAAGGCTCCAAAACCAAAGTAACTAGTAGCAGCTCACACAAATACTAGTTGCTGCTCATTATGGGTATGGTCGTTCCTGTAACGGGAAGGAAATAAAGATGTTGCAATGCAGACAAGCGTTAGCCTCGTGAGGTTAGTAAAGTCCTCTAAGCATCTGGAAGTCTTGTTCTTTGTCCCCCTGCCTCCAGGGAGGCCATATTTCCATGCGGGTAGGGGAGCAGGTAAGAGAGACTGAGGGAAAACTTCTCTTCCAAATCTACTCATGATTTGGGGGCAGAGGACTTTATGCTGGCTTGGTTCCTGAATGCTCTTTTTACTCAGCACTGTATCTGTAGAGCAGGATAGGAGATTGATCCACCAGTAGTTTTGTGAGTGTTTGCAAACCATAAAGCGCTGTACCCCAACGGAAAGAGTGGTAAATGCCCCGCTGTGGACAAAGAGGACAGCCAGCAAACTCTATGGCAGAGACGATTTGCAGACGTTGAACTTTTGAAGAAAATAGAAGTGAAAATTAAACTGGGCAAGCAAGAGTTGGACTAGAAGTTAGGGGACCTCACAGGGATCCAGCCCGAATCCGTCCTGCATGGGGAAGTTGCCAGCGCCTGAATGGCCTTGCTGCTGTGCTTTAGGATACTTACCAGGCAGGCTTGTTACAGCGAGATGAAAGGGAGCGAAGAACCTGGCCCCGGAAGACATTAGAAGGCTGGGGCAATGGTCCAGGCAAGAAACAAACAAGGAAGTGATAAGGGACAGGGAAGAGCGAAGTCACGGGGATGGAGCCTAGTGGGGTCATGTTGGCCTCTCACTCTGTGGATCTGGGGTCAGAGCAGAGACAGGGGCTGGAGCTGGCTTTCACACGGAGACAGAGAGAGGCGTGAGGGGCTGCCTCCCTGAGGTGGAGTGAGATTCTGGGGCTGCTAACTGCAAGGCGAGGCAAGGGCTCTCCCGCACTTGCAGGACTGCCAGGAGGAACCCGGAAAGGGCAGGAGTTGCACGGGGGCCCCAGAGTCTGCAAGCAGGTGCAGGTCACTGGCTATACACAGTGTGCCCTGCAAGTCTCCTCTGCCTTGAGCTGAAGTGGTTCTGAAAGGTGTGTGGCCTTCCTTTATGTTCAGGCCTCTGGTGGGGAGCACCCAAGCAGGTGGCTGCCAGTGGGGGATGGGCAGGGACCTCTCTCAAAGCAGATCCCCACCTATTCTGGCAAAGCCGCCCAGGGAAGGGACCAGTGCAAGGGCAGTTCCAGAATCAGAGAGGCCTTAGCCAGGAGGGCTGCCTGAAGGAGGGGGTATTCAGGACAGACACCTCTGGGGCTTTCCCCCTGGAGCTGAGCCTGGCTAGGGCCCCCTTAGCAAGCACTAAGTATCTGTCTGCCTTTAGGCAAATGGTAAGCAGCCCAGCCTTGGACCAGGTCAGGGCCTCTAGGGGAGGCCATGCTGAGAGAAGGGACAGTCCCTGGAGCCTGGGGAAGGGAGGGGAGTAAAGAAAGCAGAGGCTAGCCGAAACCAGTTTGGCTCAGTGGATAGAGTGTTGGCCTGCAAACTGAAAGGTCCCGGGTTCGATTCCAGTCAAGGGCATGTACCTTGGCTGTGGTCACATCTCTGGTAGGGGGTGTGTAGGAGGCAGCTGGTCGATGTTTCTCTCTCATCGATGTTTCTAGCTTTCTATCCCTCTCCCTTCCTCTCTGTAAAAAAATCAATAAAATATATATTTTTTTAAAAGAAAGCAGAG